TACTTATAATTTAATGATGAACTCTTATCCAGCAATAAATTATGATGATCAAACATACATATATTTCAATATCGAAAAGATATTAAAAAAGTAACATTTACTAGATTACTATAGAACATACTTGGTTGGCGGCAGCAAATGTAAAGTTCATTTGATCAGCATAACTTCTTGAAAAGCATTTAGTCGGTCCTTGTGTGAGCCTAGCGGCTAATTTGGTGGATCGCAAGAATGAAGCCATTATATCTAGAATTTAAACACAATAATGTTATTTATCAGATTAATGTTACCAGCTAAAATAATATTATTTACCGCTATGGTAAATTACGTGTTCTATAAAAGAAGAAATCAAAAATAATGAGGTAAATGCACGGTTGCCTTACGAACACCAGAAAATGACCTCTGTCGTTTAGTGTATAGACGTCTAGAGTACTCAAGTGATTTACGAATAAAAAGATAACAAATAATGATAGTGTATAATCGGCTGTTAAATGTCAAAGACGTTCTAAATGCTTACCAAGGTAAAATTTTAACCTAGAGAATAGAGTTGTTGCTATTTATTTTGGTTGCTACTTTTACCAAAGAAAAGATTACATTTGAAATTGAAGTAAATTGAATCTATTCTATACAGTGTTCTGTGGCCTGTGCTTCTATGCCACTATGAACATTGCGCAATGTATTTTATTTCATATTATATTTACTGTTTAAATTTACAATATTTCACTCTACAATTTTGAATTTATTTAATACTGATAAGTTTTTGGATTTGAACTTGTTATTGTCATAATTTTAAAATATAATGTTCTAATTAGACATTTTTGATCAGTGTCGTATCAATCATTAGATTCTGGGCTGGAGCTGAAGGTTTTACAATTAAGTTTATTATGTAACCTGTCTCTTGGTAAACTATGGGCATTAATTGTATTAAAAAATTCATAAATATTTTTACCCAATATACCCAATCATACCAACATGGTAAGTTTTGACGCTTCAGCCTATGGAACTGATAATTTTCTATAAATACTATCATAATTTAATCAGGAACCTAATTAAAAACCTGTAGAATTTACTTTGAGCCTACCAAGCAGCTCGAATATAGTTAAGTGAATAAATAGTAGCACTTTTATTGCGATTTTTTTGGAGTTGATGGGAGAAATAGGTGAATACAAAGATTTTGATGATGAGTAATAAGAATATTGATGATAAAAAAATAGTAAAATAGTGACACAGATATCTATATTATACATAGATATCTGTGAATAGTAGAGAAGAAAGACAAAAGATACCATAAAATAAAAAAAATTATAAAACCAATTTATTTTTCAAGGTGGCTTATTAATTTATTAGTTGTAACACAGAATATATTAATTTAATCTATTCTGTGGACTGTGGTTGTAACACAGAATATAACAACTTGTAATACATAGCTATTGGTCAATTGAAAGTATTACACAAGAAAAATTACCACTAGATTGCGTTGAATACCCGGACCCGAACGTCTGCTGTTAATATTGTTATTACCTATACAGGCTTATATTACTATAGGTACATTTTCATCGGGGAAGGAACATTTATTTTATTTTATTTTATTTTATTTTATTTTATTTTATTTTATTTTTATTTGTATAATAAACGGGTAAAGACCCTTTTGTGTAAACAATACAGTACAGGTTTAACATTTAAGTATTTTACAATTAATAATAAATGACTCGATTTAAAACAATATTAATAATAATGAGCTGACAGTATAAAATAATAATAATTAGACAAGTTTAAATAATGAAACAATAATAATACAATAGGAGACAACACTAAATCAATAATAGTATAATGATAGAATATTAATTAATTTAAAAATTTAAGACTAAATATACATTTCTTTTGAAAACATTACGTGACATAAAGAAAAAATCTACATGATCAACAATAAGATTTGCTAGTTTCAATGCTCTTGGAAAGTAAAAAGTGGAGCTGTAATTATTATTGTAAAATGGAACATGAAATAAGTTTGATTTTCTTAAACAGTGATTCGCTGTATTAAATGATATCATCGAGAGCAAATCTGGGGAAAAAATGTGACCATTTAGCAAATCATATATAAACATAATATCAGCAACCTTTCTTCTTACTTCACAAGATATAAAGCTCAACTCACTCATTCGCATATTGTATGAGTTCTTTGAAATAAGTGGAATATTTAATTTGTAACACAATAACTTTAAGAATTTAAGTTGTACATTTTCAATTGTATTAATAAAAGTGATGTAACTAGGTGACCAGACTATTGATCCAAACTCAAGATGAGATCTAACAAGCGCAAAAAATAATAGTTTCAAGGCATTTATATTTTTAAAATTAACTGTGTTTTGGTTGATAAAGCCAAGCATCTTAAAAGATTTCTTAGTAATAGTATTAATGTGAGTGGTGAAAAGCAAATTGCAATCAATAATAATCCCTAAATCTCTAATAGAAGTCGCTCTTGTAACGAAACAATTATCAATTTTGTAATCAAAGCTAATAGGATTATCAATGCGTGAAAAGGTAATAACATTACATTTGTTTATATTTAGAGATAAACTATTTTGAACTATTATTATTATTATTTAAATGTATTAGTAGGTTATAGTTTCTTTTCATTGGCTGGCCGGTCCGAAGAATTAGATGTATTTTAAAAGTTCGCAAATTTTTTGAGTTTGTTTGCAGTGTTTGCACACAAATATATAATTTAATATAATAATACATAAAATATAACATATTTTGTTAACTTGCCTTAACAGGATTTTTGGATTTTGAGTTGAGCGAGGAATGTGATTTTAAAATGTGTGTTTTTTTATGTTTGAATAATAATGAGTAGTCGAAAAAATGCTTTAAATTTCCACTTTGAGAATGGTTTCTAATAGAAATTTGGATCTATAGACTATAATTGGTACCTTTGATAGGTTATAATTGAAAATTCACAGTATTTTCAAAATAATCAGGAAAAACGGCCATTTATACATAAAACCTGTAGTTTTTGACGATATTGTATTTTTTTGATTAGTGTAATTCAAAAAATAATAAATGTAAATACTTCTGTAGATACCTATACTTGCAACTTTTACCAAATGCTTATATTTTTGAGCATTTTATAGTCATTTTTGATTTTTTTTTTAGTATTTTTTCAATTATTGTAAATATAATATAATGTCCTCAAAACAAGTCTATAAAATGTTGCTGTGATCACGATTTAAATGTAAATAACTTCAAAATTGTCTCAATTTATAAAATTATATTAATACTTTGATTTCGTAGCTTCGCTTGTTTTTGTAATTTTGCTTTGTTTAGTTTTATTAAGACGATCTTGTTATCTGATTTTTTTATTTTATAGTTAAAATTTGTGTCTAACTTATTATTACCTTGTGAACTCTCTCCTCTAGCACATCCATTGGCTTTTGAGGTGATCCATCATTTTTTAACATTAGCTATTAAGGGTAATATTATTATTACTTGTTACATACACTTTTTTGATGGAAATAAACTTATAATTATAATTATTATATAATAGGTATTTTGCTCCATTAAATAACTTGAAAATGTAATACAAGATTCCATATAGGTAGTGTATTAATAGCGTGTAATTAAAAAAAATTGAACTTAAATCCAAGGTAATTTTTTATGATTGTCTGAAGTTAGAATTTTGACGAAAATCATCGCAATTGCTAACATTTGTGAATTATTTTTTAGTTTGAACTTCATAAAACTTTTTCTTTTCACAGTTAACATATGGAAATTTAATAGAATATTCCCCATAAGGTTTCTAACAAAAAAGTTTGGTGGAAAGTAAAAAAAACTAAGTATAATACATTAAATATGGTTTTTAATAGATATTTTAAGTTTAAATTAGATATTAAGACAACAAAATAACTGACCAATTTTTAACAAAAATTGATTTAACTTTTTGATCCAACTCAGAAACTAAAATAACTCTATAGATACTTTGAATGTTCATAAAATGTCAATACGACTATTTTCTAAACATGATAAAATTTTCAAAATATTTAGACTCCTTTTGAGCTATTATTTATAGCCACGAGAGATTTTAAATGTCTATTAATTTTTCTTAATTATTAAATTTCATTATTTTTTCAATTATGCTAGGATGACACACGCCGTCTCCTACCTATGTATTTAATTTACAAGATTTTTGTTAGTCCTTAAAATATCATTATTTAAATTCATAAAATATTAGCATGGTATAAGATAATAATAAATAATAATTATAATAATAATACTTATTCTTTGCAAATATAGGTCACAATACACTTAATAAAATAGACAGATAAGCAAAACTCCCTGTAAGCATAGCTTGTATTGGGACAGTAGAGTTCAGTTTATTATAGTTAGTTGTATTTATAATCAATGATACAACTAAACAATTTAGCAATTATACCACAGAAAAGGTTCACAATATGAAGAAGACATTTTATTATGAAAGAACTATAATAGGTGAACTATTTATTTTCCAGTTATGAATAATTTAAAGTTTAGGTTTTCAAAAGAAAATCTTCGGACGGCTGGAGCCATTGATAATTTTATGAATATTGTTTATGAAAATCGTCAACAAAATAAGGTACGTATTAAATAAGTAATTAACTAATGTTAATAAATGCCTTTTTATAATTTAAAATTTAAAAAAAAATATGTGATATATTATTTTGGATATTCCTGATAAATTCTAAGAGTGCTTTAATATTTTAAATTTTAATGCAATATTATTAAAATCCTTGGCGATCGTTGTGGTGGTGCGGCGCGGGTGCATGGCGGAGGGTTGCGCGGCGACCTTGCCTGTACCCTACGCGTCCGGCCGACCGGACTCAACGACAAGCTGACGAACCGACGGACGGACCTCCGACAGCGATTGGTCGGCGTGGTGGGCGTGTCGGGGGGCGCCGGTAAACCAAGCCTTTCCGACGGTAGCGGCGACGGTACGCGGGCGCTGCACGAGGAGACTGAAACTCTCCTCGACGTCGACCGTCGCCGCAGACCGCAGTCCCCGCGCTCACGTTCAGACTTACGTATCTGCGCACCGCGTATATCGCGTATCGTGTCGTCGTTGTGATTTTTTAAGTACCTATTGATATTGTTACATTTTTTGTGTTGTGCGAAATCGTTTTAATCGCCGTATTAATTGTTTGTTCTGTTTTTTCCGAATAATTAAAGTGAGCGATTTTGACTGATTTGCTGTATTGTGATTTTCGCGGATTTCACGCTGTCGTCTCTGCCGTCAAACCACAATAACCTGCAGACGTAGGTGAAGGATAATATTGTGCTCCGCATAAATATACCTACATAAAATATATTATATTTACGCTTCGTAGGGTACAACGTTCTCTCGGGTTTTTTCGTTTTAATTTTTGATTCGAGTGTTTATCGTCATATTACTGTATTATACTCAGTGGTCGTTGTGCATGATTATTGGAATTGTTTTCGATCCGTCTGCGATATTTTAATTAAATGTGTCGGTCTCGCGTCGAGTGCGGACTATGAGCTGCACAGAGGTTATGTATCAGGCGTATTATCCGTATCTGTACCAGAGGTCTTCGGGCACGGCCGCTCCGCCTACTAGGGCGCCGCATCATCACTTCGCGCCGTTTACCCACCAATATGATCGGGTAAGTCAAATCTCATATTGTCTCTAACGAGTCTAACCTACCTATATACATCCGTATTTCTGGGTAACATATAGTAAGATTATATCTACAGGCCAGTTCAATACCATACGTAGGGGTTATCATTTTCACGGAAATTACCTATAGAAAATGTCCCAATACCTGAATTAAGACAATTTTGTGCCTGGGGTCAAGCATTCCATACTAATACGGCAATACCTACTCATTACCTACTCAATTTCTTCATTAAATAGTTTGCTTACCATTTACCACATTGCTCATTCATATAGGTACATATCTTTTTAATTGCTTATCAATAATTTATTTTTGAAATGAAAATTAATATATTATGGTTACTAACAGAATTAATTATTCAATACTATCCAACATTCTTGCCGCCTATACCTACCATTGAACAATAAAATCAATGTGAAAAAAATTAGGTATTTTTAGAATAGATATCGGGAGAAGTAGGTTAGGTACGCGGTTCTATCATATCCGTGACTCATTGCATATGTGGGTATCCCATTCCTATTTGTTATGCACATTGGTCGTTGATAAAATCATCATGGCTATGATAATTTTCCTAATTTAAAAAAAAAACAAGCCTTCTTACCTAAACTATAACCCAATTTAATAAACGGTGCGTCATTACCTATTTTTGATGTATAAAAGAATACAGATTAAGATTCGTAATTGTTAGAGTGCTATTTTGTAAATGTACAGGAGAAAATAGAAACAAAAAATAAAATTTGTAAATTAGTCAAAAGTCTTTATAGTATCGTGCATGGAACTAAATATCCCTGGAACCTTGCCTAATTTATAAAGTTAACGGAATAATATTTAAGTATTACATTTTTATCGTCATATATTTCTATAACACCGCCATAGCAGATCTAGATATAGTGCTTTTTAGATTTTAATTGTACCTACTAATCAGATCATCTACCTATAATGTTATTATTATGTTCATTCAACACTAACACTTTTTTTGTATTTGAGTAGGTAGGTACTGCGAGAGTTTAATAATCTTATATTATATTGTATGTATAGGTAGCTCTGACTAATGAGTTATTATATAGGTAATTATAGTTAGGTGTTTAGACCTAAGGAAGGACAATGTTTTTTCAGTCATTCATTAATAAATTATTTTTCATAGATGCCCATTTAAAAATCGTATTATCCAACACTTCATTTTCAATAACAAATTATGTCTCATGTACTTGTCACGTCATAGCAACTATAATTAAATAAATAATTCAATAATTTCTTTCGTTCTCTATTACACACAGGCATATGTATAAATATAAACTAAAGTAATATTCCCAAAAAATAGCTCTAAAATCCATATTTAAATTGTTTATATTTGTGGACGACAATCCAGTATTGGAATTTTAATTTGTGGTTATAACATGATTATTATATTTAAAAAAAACCATAGCATAAGTCCAAGGGACTCTCCTCTTATCACACACATATACTGCACTCATGACCTCATGACCTCCCCCCCCTTACAACCAACTAGCTCTTGTTGAGGCCTAAAATGATAGTTAGAACTTGCAAATTTTAACCAGAACTGAATTGAACTATTCATATATATGGGTACTTAAATCCTACATCAAACCTGAAAAATTAAAACTGTTAATGTTGCTTATGTCTTGCCACCATCTTAAAAAAAAACATACATGCCGTATAGGTAGCGAATTAACGTTAAGTAGTACCAATTGTGTGTTGTTGGTTTTAATATTAAGGTGAATTGACCTATTATCAAACTTAGAAGCAAGAACATTATCTGTTGTTGTACGTCAGATTTTTTTTCTAAATTTCAATTTTAAAGTGAGATATGAGCATTTTTAAATCGTTATACTTCTCATACTTATATCCCGCTTTAAAATTAAAATATCGAAAAAAAGTAACAATATTAAACAGATAATATTTTAAGTTCTTACCTTTAAGTTTGATAATAGATAAAATCACTCGTATATCAAAAATAACAACATAAAGTGTTTGTAAGACGGAGACAACACACGGGTGGCATCCTTTTAACGTATGTAATTTATTTTTATTGTTTTCATTTGTTGCATCTTATTAAGTTAACTTAATATTTAGTTATCAAAATGAAAAATAAATGTAGCTACAAATAAACTAATGTAAACTATTATATAATATAGACCTTTTGTTCGGCTTGAATATTTTCTCTATATTTTCGGTTTGTTTGAAACTGAATTAATATCGAATCCGTCGTGCGGTCTAGCTCAAAAATAGAACAGTCCGATCTATCACTATATAGTCACTATTTTCTACCTAATCCTTATCCTTATGGTATGGCATACCTTTACCTTAAAAAAAAATTTTTTTCACCGAACAGTAATATAGTTATTTTGATTGATGTAAATGTAAAAAGTTTAAGTTAAAAAAAAACTTATAATGTATGAAAATTTAACTTAAGTTTATTGAATTTTATAATTTTTATGAATTCCGAATTCGTATTTCGAAGTAGGTTCTTCCTTAATAAAGTTTAATATTGCAGTACAATTAAATACAATATTTACTCTGATATTTGCTTTATTAATTCTTAGAAATAAATAAAATAAATATTGTTTCCTACAATATCAAATAATGTGAAAACGATCATTACTTGTAACTTGTCAGGAATAACATATTAATTGACAAAATATTAATTTATACCATAATCAACAATACAATATTTAAATTTTGAGATTAGTCGATATTCTTTGTAAAATTGAGTCTTAAGGACTCATAGTCAGTATATATTATTTATCACCGTATCCCAGTAAAAATTTATCGTTGTCAACATGGGAATATTTTGAATTCGTCCAGTATGTTTTGATAGACATTAATGACGTTCTGGAAGGTATCAAGTATTTTTTTTTATCGCCAAAACGATAGTTGTTGTTTATTAGGTTTCTCTGGTGTAATCATTTTAGAAAATGTTTGTAAGTTAACAAAGAGAATTGATTGTTCATATGATGCTTAGGTATTAAATATTTTGGTTATTTTTGGATAAATTCATTCATGGATTTCGAATTTACAATATTTTTGTAAGTTGGCAATATTATCACAAATAAACAGATACGTATCTAGCATGATTAATAGGTAATTGTTACACTATCATAATTCATAATATAAGTTAAATTATACAACAAAGTGAAATATTATAAAAAAAAATATACAATATTGTGTAATGTGTTGATATCTTATAAGTTATGACTATTAGTTATTAATTATTATATGTTCAAAAATATGTTCTATAGTCAACTTCATAAAGAGTCCCAATTAGATCATGATACTATTTAGACTTGTGCATTTCGTTATATTCTGTTTCATTTTGTCTAGGACTTCTAATGTTTTATAATTTTTATTTCTGAATACATTTTAATTTTCTACTCCTTTAACAATTTGTTTACCTATAATATGACTTCTACTTAAATTATTTCTTTTGAAAATTTAATATTAATAAAAATATAAGATTTAATATAATTTTTCATAAATTTTATAAATATAAAAAATCTATTTAGGGTATGTTACACAATATATATTTATATTTTGACTATTCGAAATTATTAATATCAATTGACACAAGGACGACATACTATTTAGTTATAGTACCCATATACATTTATTGGTATTTGCCCCTACAGGTTTAAAAATCTAATAAAACGTGATGGTTTTTATATTCATTAACTAATGGCCTCGTAATGCTTGAAAAATATTTTATTATACAAGACTTTGACTACCTAAGAAGTAATTAATATTGTTGAACTTTTAAAATTCCCCTCAATAATAACGTGGAGCATTGTAGCACGTGTCCTCACTGTATAGTTACTAGTTGATCAGTTTAATATGAAGTGATATAGGTACATTATTATTATATTTCAAACACGTCCTGACAGTAAACACACAGATCTAATCAACTGCGGTACAATAGTAATTATAAATATACATATATATATATATATATCGTAAGCACATGATTTCTACTTCTTTATGGGTTTAGTTGAGCACGCTTTATAAAATCGTTTTCTTGGTTAATCATTACCTATTTTCGATGTGGGTACTCATATACTGTCGCATATTATCTGGAAACCGGTTGTTTTGGAAAACTTGTCTTTTCAAATCCAACACAGATAGAATGAAAAAGATGTTAGTTAATGTCAATCGATTAAATTTGATATCTGTTAACAAGTGGTATTATCTTCCAACAAAAATACGTGATAGTGACATTCACTAACTAACAAAAGCCAAATATTATTGTAGGTACAATAAATAGGTACCTATAGGTAAATACAATATTTATGAGACCTTATATTTTCTTAGTAATATTTTTATTAGTTTTAAAATTAAATAATAATGTTATTTAAGATGGCTAATATATTATTATAATTATTAGTTTAATATTTACAAACCGAATTTATCAATTCATACATGTTTATTATTCAATGTTCATATATTTAAACACATATTCTGCAGTATATGTTCATATATTTAAACAAATACTTTGTAGTATTATATCTTGAAGGCAAATCAATATTATATTCAAATAAGTAGCAGTATTTTTTTTGTAAAACTTTCTGCATAACTAAAAAAAAAAAATATGTTACATGCAATGCATGTTTGAACCTTTTAAATGCTTTATAAAATCTGCTTAAAATAAGTTGTTAATTAGAGATGGGAACCTAACTGTTTTATTATACTACATATCAATTTGGGTTTGTTAACAGTAAGGCTTGTATATTAATGTATTGTATTACCTATATATTATACAAGTAACAGCTTCTATACACTTCTTTATGTATAATTACTAATTAGTAATTTCAATTTATATAACATAGAATAATGAGGTATGTACCTATTTATATCATTAATACCTACTTCATAATTAAATTCATAAATTCACAAATTCAAAAATATATAGTTTTTTTTTTACTTAAGATTCTGCTCACGAACGAGTGATAAACACGCAGATACATTTCGTGTATTATATAGCTGGACTTATTTATAGAAGATACCAAAATTTAGGAGTGATAGAAAAGTTTTCATAATTTCTCCTTTCTGTGTATAGATTGAAAATTGAACATAGATATTGTAATTTAAAGGTCTGGAAAGTACAACTATTATTAGGTATTTTATAGGTGTAGGTAGTTATTGAAGTATATTAATAATTGTGATAATAACTTAAAATATATGTAACTATTTTCAAATACATATGTATTTACATTGTAATCTTAATATTTAGAACGGTTACTAATTATAAAATATTGGCATAACCAATTATGTTTTTTTATTGAAGTTTGATAACAACGAATAAGTTATTCACTCTAATATTAAAACTGCAAATCTCATGTTATGCACTTGTAAGACACTAGGCAGAGACAATAAATGCGCGTTCGCATAAGTTAGTTACACGTTCCTACACAGCACATTTTCAAATAAATGTTAAAACGAGTTTATTTACTTAATTAAGTAATTTACAATATCTTAATGTGATGATGAAAATACATTTAGGATGGAAATAAAAACAAAAAAACAAGTTTATACAATACAATTATTTTTGCTAAAATGTGTCGGTGACCGTAATGGTTATGAATTATTTGTAGAATGTTGGAGAAACAGGACAATATTATTGCTGAGGGAAATTTTATACGACACGCGCCAGTATTGCCGTATACTTGTCATTGACAACCTTCTCGATACGTGATTGTTTTGAAAAATAATGTATTGTTACTTGACATAAAAAAAATGGTTCATCTCATAAAAACAAATAATTTATTCTGGTTTGTCCATGACTAATATGATGTGTATTGTATTTACTCTTACGTATTTGGATATTAATTAATTAGTTTAAATTTTCAAATACAGTTCTCATCACTATTACAATATTATAAGAAATTGAATGTTGATACATTTTAAGTTATGTTCATAAGTCATTTAATTTTCAAATGGAATTTTGGTAAGTAAGTGCATATAATATTATTCTATTCTCAAGTTGTAAATATTTATATATCTTAGTTATCCGTATACCTAAAGGCTAATACACATTTTCTTCCTATAGAGTATTAAAGTTTAAATTTGAAATTATATAGTATGTTCTGCAACCATGGTTTGGAATATACGTAGGTAGCTATACTAAGAATAGACACAATATAATATTTTGTAACATTTTATTTAGGTTTAACATTGTGTATACTAAATATTTTTAAAGTTTTAGTAAGTGCTTAAAAATTGTATGGAAAATATTAGTTTTGTAGGTACCTAATAAAGATTAATCCCGATTGTTGATTGCAAAGAATGTTTATCAATTTTAAGCAGATAGGTAGATAAATTTAACAGACATTTTATTGCTAAAAAAATAATTAGAAGATTTATAAGGTGTTATCAGTAATGATAATGTAATGATTTTAACTTAAGATTATAAACAAAAAGTGTTAACGAAAATATGGTATGTTTTGGTTTGTTTCGCACCCAGGGTATTATACTCATTGATGAGGGCTCTAAATATGTGTGATACAATTATATAGACAATTTAGTTCAATATACTATCATATTGTTATGTAATATATGTATATTATCTAAATATGTAATAATACTATTTATTTATTAGATATGCACATGATATATTTGTTGATATATTTTTTTTTTGACACGTTGTCTGAATATTAATTCTAATAGATTATAGAACTTGGTTCTTTCTTGGGAGTTTGATATATTTCTGAAGTCCGTGTGAACATATTTCTCTGGCTCAAACTGCAATGAGAGCGCAACGGGTGAACTTGAAATAAATATTCGAGTGCATATAATGCGATCTACACGAAAGAAACATTTGAAATATTTTTATATGGTCCAAGCTTTAATGAACACATTGGAATGGCTGAGATGAGTGGGATTCCATAACTTCGTGCTACCGTGTCGTGGCGGCGGCGGCGCCCCTATTTAAAAAAAAACCGAACTGAGATTATTGTCATTATCATTATAATAAATAATAATACCATGTTCGTGGAAATTCTCGCTTGTTGACTTATAAGACGGGGAAAATCGTATTTTAAATCGTGTACATTATAATATTGTTGCGTTATCGCGTAACGGTACCCGGTGTATGGGAGAGATGAAAAAAAAATACTATTTGTACAAAAAAAAAATATAAAAAATTACCGCGCGCTGTAAAGTTTAGTGTACGTACAAATACTGTGTTATAGGTATATACGGGTATGTATCCATGTTGATTTATGGTCATCAGAGGCAGCCGGTGTGTGCCGGGACACGAGGAATGCTCTTTTAAGTCCAGCCCGACTCCGCATTCCTACACTGTATCTGGTCCATCTTACAATTTATTCTTGTTTTGGTTTTTTTCATTCTTTTATTATTATTTTTTCTTTTTTCTTTATTTATTTTTTTACAATGGACTGTTATATTATACGAAAGGCAATATATGATGATAAGACAATTGATGTTTTTCGGAAGAAAAAAGTTTGGGCTACCACTTTTTTTTTGCCCGCGTGTTCTTTGCACTCAACCGGTTTCTCAGCACTCGTTCGACTTTAGTTGTGTAATAATAATAGCTAATATTAATTGACTTCATTAGTCTAAAAGGCTTAGCCGCAGAGACAGATAATCGTATTTTATCCAATCAACACGTCTACACGACGTCGTCTATATAGAACCTATTGATTTTATGACAATGAACAATAATTATTACCTATTACTAGGTATATATATAGTTACTATATAGTAATATAATAAATATAGTATAATAATAAAAAAGATTATATTTTAACCTAATATTGATTAAAACCCAAGAATACATTTTATTGTAAGTATAACATATTTTGTGAATAAAAATCTAAAAAAACTTTTTTTTACTTACTAATAATTGTTATAGGAAAATGTGATTAAGTTAAAAAATGATCTTACTTTTGAGGAGGTATATTATACTTGGTGATCCAAATGAACAATATTTTAGTATTTATCCATAAATACGCGTGCCCAGCAGGTGTATTACCGTTTAGCAATATCCATGTGAAAAAAAATATTATTCATGAAATATAACAACTTTAATGTGATAGTTGATAATATATGATAATAATACCAAGACATTGTGCACATAATATTATACAGTTTATTTTGAACTTACCTAGTAAATTTATTAATTAGAATACACTATACAAAAACAATTATTTATATATAAATATATAAAAAATGATTACCTAAATCTGTAGTAAAATATTGCCATTGCTATATTTAAATAAAAAGTAAGTACCTAACTTGTATTTCGTATGCATGGATCGTTTCGTTTTAAATTTGAAATATTCTCAAACGTGTATTTTCAATACTACTCGTACCTTTCACCTTAAAAAAAACACATGTAAATCCTAGGACGACCAAGGTCATCCAGCTGTAATATTTAGCGGTACCTATAATTGGCGAAAACACACTGTATATTTTAATATGATGTAGAATTTATATAGTACCTATCTGTTTAATAATTAATATAATATATAATATTGTATTATTGAAATTACGCATTTGTGTACAGTTGAGAGCGTTGGAAACGCACCAACAAGCGTCCACTTCTTCACCGATTGGCGGCGGAGACTCACCGGCGAACAGATGGACAACCATTACAGATCATACTGACTCACACCACAGCAGCGTCGGATCCGGAGCATCCAGTGTGGGCCCTGTTGGTGGCATCGCCAGCCCAGCATCCTCACCGGCCACTGCCAATAGTGTTTCGGTAGTACACAAAGAAGAAGACACATCCAGAGACGGTAATATTATATTATAACCACATTAATAATTAACTTTTGTACTAAGTTAGCAGTTCCGAAATTCACGGAAATGGGTGCTTTGCAGTGGATAAAACTGCAAAGTAAAGATTGTTGTATAATGTTACAATAATAAATGTATAAAAAGATTCATAAAAATAAAATATTTAAGCTGCGATAAACTTGATCAAAACTTGATTGTCAGCTCACCAACAAACTTATAAGGCCAATAACAGTGAAAAATAATTGCTTTTATGCACTTGTTATAATATGTTTCAGATGTTTGTAGAGGTATCTTAAGGTTTCCAAAAAACAATGCCTTGTTTAAGTTAAAAGTTATTCATCAAAAAAAATGAGTGGACTGTAATAACAATATGTTCACTTTTAAAATCATTTTTTTATAGACTAGCTTGATTATAAAACGTTAATCGATTTATAACGCTCAATAAATAAATTTAAGTTGTGTATATATGTATATACTAAGTTATTATATCTTGAGAACTCAATCACTTTATTACAGTGTACAAGCTGTTTGTATTTTTCATAACTGTTAAAATAATAAAAAACTATTATCTCATCATGAAATTCATGCAGACATAAACAGAATGATGTATGCGTTTGCGATCAAACACACCTTGTGCACTACTTCGATATCTCAACAAGTCATGCATATCAAGTGTTTTAACAGTCGCTATATATACATTGGCCATTGCTTTAGTAACTATACATAACACCTGCAGCCCTATTCCATATATAACATAAAAGATAATATGAAGCTTCAAGTATTATAGGTGTCAATTGTATGCAATTTATATTTTCATAGAACGCGTACCCTTAAGGTTTATATGAAATATAATGTAACTTTATTATATATTTACCCACGCATATACCTGAAGTCTGGAGAGAACTTTGGTGCTTTATATTATTTTGAATTTTAGACATTCGTTATTATAGCTTACATTACAACATATGATACTATCAATATAATATTTATTATATTATAGGTAGGTTATTTAGTAGGTATGCGTTTGTTAATCTAAAATTTCATTCACATACAATTTTTTATGACCAGTCATCAATAAGTACTATACGATCAAACTAAACTTCCTAAACCATTAAAAAAAACATGAAAAAAGTATTAAAATTTTTATTTTATAATTTATATAATCACACCTAAAAATAATTTAAGTGTACCTATATTTTTGAAAATAGTTTAAGGTTTCAGTATGTCTCGTAGTTTTTTAAAAATATTTACTAGGGTATAATTTAGCTCTTAAACAAAGCATGATGTATAAATATCCTTAAAACACTTAGAAGCGTTCACAAAAGACAATATTCGTCTCCCTACAGCATCCTCTTCAATTAACGTTCCCAAGGATGCTTTATCCTCGTAATATTGAGATTAATCTGCTTTGTCGTCTTGCAAAACACAGAGGCCTCTTAATAAACATTATTTTATAATATACAATGCATAATTGTGGTACATAAATCGTCCTTTTTCAGAAGTTTTATACCGAATTGTAATTCAGTCCACGGTGATTTAACGAGGAGGTAATGTATTCAAAAGAGGGATAGTTTTAAACTGTTTTTTTCTTGTTGTTCGTGTTGTTAACGGAATTAAGACGAAAACGGAAAATGAGACGTAATGAACAGATTATGATGATGGATTTAAAAAGTTTTATTTTTTTCTGCTCTCAAAGACAGTTTTTATTTATGTTTTTTTAGTTTTTGGTTTTTTTTTTGTAGATGTTCGCACTGAAATGGATGAGGACGAGGATAACGTGCAGGACGACTCAAGAACGCGAGGGGACAGGCGTACTGCCGCACACGCGCAATACGTGTCTGTAAATTGCGTGGTGTTCACCCACTATACTGGCGACGTCGCTAACGTGGTAGATGAACATTTTTCCAGGGCGTTAAACAGCGATCAAAAACTCAACAATGCCCATCAAACGTCGACCAAAGGTGAGTCGATAAAAAGTTTTGACTTAAATTTTAACGCTATCAATAAAATACGAACACATAGTAAAAAAGTGTATACAACTTACATGTCAGGTTACTATATTTTGGAACTTTTCGGCAGTTTATATGTAATTTCAAGGGAGGGGGGGCGTTCGATAAGTGCGCAGACCAACAGTGTATACAAAGTTGCACCAATATATTCAGATAGATTAGAGACCTTTAACTGCAGTATTGAGAAAACTTACGTATAGGAGAAGTATAATAGCGATATATTGTTGGAATTTCTTTTCCTCGCTCACCTCAATATATAACATAGAGTCTATATAGTATAATATTATTTTCTTTAAGTCTGCCGCGCTTAAACACATAAACCGCCGGCGACGTCGGGAATGACCTTATGACTGAGAATGCGTTTTCGCTTTGGACTGAAAAAACTTAACATCTCAGACTATAGCTGTTTTTTCTTTTTTTTCTATACTTCTCTCGAAAAATTGTTCTTCTGTTCCATCCCGCGAGTCATGGCGACACATTATTTATTGTTATATATACTGACCGCGTGAGAATTGAGCATTATTTTAATAGGTTTTTAATTAGTACAAGAAAACTCTTTCACTTGTAAAACACCTCCTACAGGAATGCGTCTTCCGTCGCGAATAAACTGGTTCTCCGCACAACAATCATATACCTACGCACACACACACACACACACACACTCACACTCGCTCATACACACATGAGCAAGCAAATGCACGCGTGAGCGTATATGGAATAACACACGCCAAACTCGCGTCAACGATACATTACTTATTTTTTTTATGATATCATTACAAAATATCGTCAAACTCCGGGGACACTAATCGCGAGTACTGTTTATAGCAGCCAAATATAAAGATGTATCTAGTATTTTCCACAGTTAAATTTTAAGGAAAACTGAATGCATTCGGATAGATCCCATCCTTAATTTGAAGTACCTATTCTTAATAACTTTTTAGATAAAAGAATATTATTTTATGACTAAATCTCTTACTTAAACAAACATCAAAATATAAATATGAGATTGTTAACTATTATTTGTTTTAGATCAATTTATTATAAAACTTCACTCAGTACATTTCATCTGGACATGGTTTTAGAAAATACCTATAATATTAGAATGCTCATGATTTATCCTTTAAATTTTTGGCGGATCATTAATCAATCAATTTTGATGCAACTCGGCATTACTATTTTAATATAAAAACACTGTAAAACAAATGTTAACATTCAGTAAATATTTGTATTGGCTAAAATGTTTACTATAGAGCAGCGTTTCCCAAAGTGTGTTCCGCTGAACCTTAGGGTTCCGTGGTACAATGTCAAGGGTTCCGTTAGATGTATGAGATTATTGAGAAAATTATGTTTATTTAGTGTTTGTTGTTTAAAAAATGTTTGATTGAAAATTTTTTTTTAAACTAAGTTTAATAATGAAAAGTCATTAACATTATCATTAAAATATTATTTAGACTGGAGAGTTTAAGGAATTGATTTTCCTTTTTTAATTTACAAAAATTGTAGTTTTGTTGGATTTTACATTTGGGTTCCGCGAAACACAAACAATTTTTTAAGGGTGCCGTGGTCGTAAAAGTTTGGGAACCGCTGCTATAGAGTATAGGTATAATATAACAGCAGTTACTGCTAACAAAGTTCGATGATTTACATGTAAAAATTTTACATTTAAATTCTTTGAAAACCGCTCGAATCAATAAAACTTAATAAAATAATAATAAGTTATAACATACATATATCTACATTCTACAATATAAAACGATGGGAATTGGTGTATTTTTAAATAAACTATATTTTGTAATAATAATAGGTACGTTATATAATTTGATTATTTAATGTTATTAAGGTATAGCTGGTACTTTAAATAATTAAAAACGCTATATAGTGTACCATGCACACAAACTGATTATACTTCACTGACAACAAATGATCGTTTAAATGTCCCCTTAACGTATAATATGTTACAATTATCATCACTTAAATATTGTATTCATGTTATTGTACTCGTATATTAAAGTATATATTTTAAACAGAAATCACTGGCAAGACACCGCTAAAATTGTTCACTGTATAATTTTTCCTTGTGTACCTATAGGCTATTATATACATTGTTTATCCACAAAAACACACAAAAAAAAATACAAGAATTAATGTGATTAACTTAACCTAGGGTCACCTTACAAAATCCTGTTAGAGATACAATCACGCTCTGTCGTAAGATGAAAATATATGTCGTAAATCCATTAAAAAAAAAAAATATTGGAAACAACACTTTATACCTACAGATACAACGTTTAGATTGTAGTATATTGTGTATATCCACTCATTTCGTATTAAATATTTTGTGTGAAACGGAAAAGCAAGTAGACATTTTATTATTCGGAATAACTATAATTATTATGTGTAAATTAAACGTTAATTACTCTATTTATTTAATGAATATTTACTGAAAACATTGTCCTTTGTGTCGATATGATACTACCTATTATAACTATACTCATAAAATAATAAAATACAATTTCTTAAACAATTAACTAATCATTGCACCTAATATACAAATAATAAATCCCTGTTCATAAGTATTAAAAGATTTCAGGATCTACCTATACTTATAATTATAGAACAACACTGACTCTGAGATTTCATATTATGACTTAATGTGTAATCTACTTATATGTATATATATAGGCTATGGTGTACCTCAATATCTGTTGATACTTCTCCAATAAGAAATCTCTGACTTTAAGCTATTTTCATAATCATTTTTGTACCTGCTACTCATTTTTAGCTATGAAGTATAAAAACATTTAAAATGTTTGAATATTATATCAGTCAATTAATTTTTCTGTAAACCTTATCAGTAGAACGTGAAGTCACGTGCGGTTTATTTTCCGCTATTATGAGTGTGTAAGTGTAACATATAGTTTAAAAATATCTCGGCATTTATACTATTATTAATTAAAAATATTTACACTACACTTTAAAAAGTTCTATTATTAAAAACATATACTACTGAATAAATTGGAAGATTATCGTAACAACATTTTAATGTATGAACAATATTTAAACAACGTAATTTTATAATTTTTAAATCGATGTTAAATTAATTAGGTGTTTGTTTTCAAAGGAAAATTAGTTCGATTTTTAGATTCTGAGCGGAGCCATATTTATGCATGCATTTAGTATTATTATACATATTATATGAATATATATATTGTATATATTATACTTGAGAGTTATGATTTGTGTTATACTGTTCTATTAAAAATGTTTTTTTTGTGCCTGTCATCGCCTTTTAGAACAGTTAAAAAGTTCCAAATCTTCGACTCTAATGGTGGTTTAAAGTAAACAAATTGGATCTAGTTGGTATTTTGGTGGTAAATTACAGTATTTTTCTAAATTATTGTGAAAAACCAAAAATAAAAATATGATAAACGCCTAACGGCAATATAAGCCATCTTAATTATGGCTATAGTATTTATTCTATACTACGAACCAATTACATTTTACCTGCGTGGTATTTACTTATGAGAGTAACAATAATATATGATACTAGGGAGGGGGTGCTATGCTTGTCAATGCCCTAGATAAAAAACAATTAAGTAAATTATTAATTGTTATTATAATAATTAATAATAATATATATAAAACGCCCTGTCGGGCTCAGTACAGTAAAAATAATGATACGAATACTTATTAATCATAATTGGTAATGATAAATTAAATAGTGTATTATATGTCAATTTAAATTAAATTAAACTAGACGCTTTAAAATGATTGAATCTTCATAGAAAAAGTCAAAATTGCTTAAAGAGTTTGCTGTTGTCAGCATTCTACTGATTGGAGTGAAAAGACAGTATAAATCATAATTTAATTGTGAACTCATAATATTATAATAGTATTATAATAACACAAATAGACATTATTGAATCAATATTTCAAATTGTGAATAAAAAAATTCATTTTTGAGTAGCTGGAGCATAAAATATAAACAGTAGGATTGTAGGAATACATAATATTTTATGTACTGTGTACGGACAATTCTAATATAGTTTATATATAATATATACTGTACATATAAAGCCACGCACAAACTATTTACTATTAAACATATACAATCTTCAAGTATATAATGAAGTTTGCCGCGATTTAACAGTTCGGAGAAGTCTAATAATAATATTCTCGAGGAAATATTTGCGAGAAATCCACCGCGTATATAGACTAGTGCCCCCGAACAACGACGAGGGTTCTCGAAACTTGGCGTTAACGAAAGTTTAATAAACGGAAATCGCGCACACATACGCTGTGTATATTATTATTATTAGAACGCGCTTTCGAATAGCATTTGTCGGGTGCCTGCATAAGTTTAAAGTCGTTTAAACTTAAACGAAGATGTGTACGTGAGGCGAGCACATTATTACATTATTATTACATAAAACCAGTCACGCAACTTTTAGGATTTTTTTAAGTGGTGGGTGTGGGGTGATTTAAATATGGATTATACTTAGGAGAAAACAGTACAATCATTATAATATCTCTACATTCAAATTGTTAAATTGATAGCAAAATATAATATACCGAGTTATCCATTTAACGGGTAACACATACATTATTTCAAAACCTATCAACGTTTTTGAAAATATTTTTTTATATAATCTTAAGTCGTTAAAAGTCAACTTTATTTAATTATTATTTTTATCATTATTATTTTAAAAGACTATATACATTTTAAATTCCTTATTTCAAAGCAGAATATATTTTGTAGTTTCTACTTTCCTTTCACTTATAATGGTTCAGATTTGAAGTCGATTTTGAGTTTTGGCTGGCGTTTCATTTTGTGCGAAGTTGATTCAGCAAGATGCAAATTTTTGTTAAAACCCTTACGGGTAAGACAAGTATTCTCGAGATTGAGTCATCAGATTCTATTGAAAATTTAAAATCGAAAATCTAAGATAAAGAAGGCATTCCCCCGGATCAACAACCTCTAATTTTTGCTGGCAAGCAATTGGAAGATGGTCGTACATTATCTGATTACAATATACAGGAGTCAACTCTTCACTTAGTACTTCGTTTAAGAGGTGGTGCTAAGAAAAGTAAGAAGAAAAATTATTCAACACCCAAAAAGATCAAACACAAGTTTCTACTTCGATACCAATGTAAAAATTGAATTCCGGATGAGTAGTTATCAAATGAGTTGGTACCTATTGTAAGTATTGTATGTTTTGATGTGCCGAGTGAAGTGGTACCTAACCCATTAAAATGTTGGTCCACCACTCCGATCATTTAAACATTAGATACTAAATAAGTTATGTTAAAACTGCAATAAACTGCTTGTTCAAAATTTGATTGTTATACATCAAAATACTTCGAATAATATTTTGCATCGGATTATAAAATTAAAAATGTATGTTTCAGTCATTCAAATGAGAAGAAGAACTTTGTAGATAACGATAAAAAATATTGAAAATGATCATTTTTTTTTCGAAAAATGTTGTTTTGTAACGACTAAAAATTATGCAAGCGAACTGTTAAAGTAATGGATTACCTACCCGTATAATATAATAAATGTATAGAGATAAAAACTCTACGGTCGTCGAATATTATCATATTGTATATTATATTCGTCATCTCAAAAACTCAATAATTTAAATCTTATAACATATTTTGTAACCCTCCAACACCTGCCATTTGTTGCTTTACTGAGCACAACTCATTTTGGGAGCTTAATTATTATTATGCGGTTTGTCACGTGCCCTTACAATTTGTGTGGAGCAGAGCGGCGTGGACTGTTTGGTCCGAAAAGAAGATTTATAATGTAAGTAGGATTGTTCGGGCTGTAACAAATGTGTCGTATTCGGGCTTTCCCACGGGTCCACTGTTTCAGTTATTTATTTTTCTCTTCGGCTGCGCTTTGGAAGAGCTATTGTTGTATTTTTACAGGTGTAGAAGGACGCATATGCACGCGCTCGTTGTGTTTTGTGGTGAGTGTGTGTGTGTGATCGAGTAGATTTGTAAATTATATTGGACCCAACCAAACCTGTTATACACACACAGACACATACACACACGTTTTATTCGCTTCTTAATTCCTCATTGTTTTTTTTTATTTTATTATTGTGTATATTTTTTTACGTACACACACGCGTATATATATATATATATATAGTTGTATTATATATATTCGTTTGCACTTCTCCGAACGTCTTTTGTCCAAACGCCGACTTCGATCCGTATCTCTTTTTATTTTCCACCACCGCAGTAAATATATACATATATACATATACCTACTCCAAATTCGATTGGGAAACAATAGATCGGATTGGCGGCATCGGCGGTATAAACACAAACACACACACTCAAGCATATAAACGACTTATAAGTTATAATGTAATACTGTATAATACACAAGACCCGGCCGTGTAACTCGGTCGATTTTCAGCGGTTAATAAGTATTAATAACACAATATAATCATGCTTCGACTAATCATTTTCAAATTTGTATTGAGATAGGTAATACAAGATTTATATTCGTTAAAAATATATGACCTTATCTTCCGACAATAATATAATATTATAATATCATATGAGTGTACAAAATTATAATATTATGTTACCCAATAAGTACAAGTACCTATACGACAGCATATTATAATATTATATATGAAGAACGTCGGTAGGTATGATATTCTACAGCAGTGGCTTGATCGTATACCTGTAATGTTTACGGGATTATTGTTCTTGCAGAAATATTTACACAAAAACGAACTCTTTGAACCTACATATAATATTCGTATATATAATAAAAATTTGACACGCGTCAAAAACCGTCGCATTTTTATACGCACGTATTGATTAGATAATGACATTTTTTCAATGAATACTTTGTGCACCTATAATACGAGAGGCCTTGCAATTCGCATACTATATATAGGTATGATGATTATTTTACAACATTTTAACATCATTAATGTGCCATTAAAGAATCATCAAACGAATAGTTCTAAATGATGTATAAATTATAATATTTATAATATCTCATCATATACGATGACTTATAGGTATATTAACTTCTGTTAGGTCACCTATTTCATCATACCTGCTGCTGCAGTTGACACCGAAAAATGTCTCCGTTCGCTGATCATATTTTGTATGATAAATTACGTTTTTTATATTATAATCACTTACAGGAGTTCAATAAACCCGTAACGTATGCAACAGTGTACAATGTGAATAGAACACACACTTAGAGTAATAATTGCATTTTTTAACGATTAAAGCATCAAATTGTTTTACCGTCCGACTAATAAAAATAGTTGGGTTTTCTGCGATTATTCGATTATATCACTTGCAAATCGTTTTCTATCTGTAGGACGTACCTGTAAGGTTCACAAATCTTTTTTCTACGATTAAATATTGACACGGAACAGCACGTTCGATTTTGAAGTACGTGCAGATAGAAAGCGATTTACAATTTGCGTTTTCCAATTCTTTATTGCTGTATGAACGATAAATACGATTAAATGCAGAATTATAAAATATAGGTAACTATTTCAATTTATCTCTTAACTCTTTTACCGTTTGCACTTAGAAAACGCACAATCGCAAATATGTTCTGATAGAATTATGTTTCTGAGTGTTATTATCAATAGAAATACAAAGTTTGTCTGCGGTAAATTCAAAAGATGCTTAATTATTTTATTTTATTATTTTATACTTTATAAATTATAAACTTATTATTATTAAGAAAGTTCAATAAACATTTTTTTTTATAAATTCATTAAATGTTGGGATTGTATTTTGTTAACAAAGAAACATTGATATCTATAAAATGTATGTATAGCATGATGTAGGTGCCTACTATAATATTTTTGTATAATTTGAAAAAAACAAAATAATTATTTTGGTACCTATATTATATATTTATATGTTTATATACTCCACGCATGTAATAATCAATTTAATCATTATGTGTCTCTGTTATATTGGTTTTATATATTGTAAAAATGTTAACTTATAGTTTAAAATAATGCAATTATTTAAGTTTCGACTTGATAAAATTAATATGTAAGATAAAAATAATTAAAAGGTAAAAAGTCACTTTTAATTCACCTTAAAATAATTAACTAGTTTGAACTTAAGTTTATTTTTTATCATTAAGTTGCTCAATCTTGGATGACGTATTATAAATTAGCATAATACTACCCACAAATTAATCGTGTTATTTGTTTTTCTTGTTTAACTTTAACTATGTTATATTTTATAATTTTAGATACTTCCCCAATGTCTTCCAGAAACTTCCCAGCGTCGTTTTGGAATAGTAATTATCACTCACATCACTCCACTAGTCAAGTGTATCATCCCGACACAATGTACCATCATCATGGTACTGCTGGTAACCCCGCAGATCCATGGCAAACACATTACCAACAATATACAGCTGCGGCTGCTCATCACCATCACAGGTATTCTTTTTAAATTTTACTAACATATGTAGGACATATTTTTTTAAACTCAAGTGCATAGTTGTAGTATTTGCAACATTAAAGTAAATATTTACTATAATGTGCCGAAAGTTAAACGAAAGGAGCTGTGTAGTCGACTACACTATAAGGCAAGGTGCAGCAAAGTTATGCAATTTGCCCTACCCTATCACGAGTTACAATTATCTACAGCGAGTACTGTAATAAATAATAATACCTAAAGAATCTAGATATAGGTAAACATATTAATATCTTGATAAATTTAAAACTCTATGTATATATAGATATATAGATAAACATGTATTGAGTGTAATTATTTGTTGAAAAACATTTTATAGATTACAGCTTAGAATTTTATAATGCATAGCGGCTCAAACGATGTTGTATCAATCGGTTGAAACTTGTTAATTTAATAATCAGTCTACTCAATAATCGATTGCCTTATAGTGTTTACTTTGTACAAATAAATCTGATGCATACATTTTACTTTTAAATATTACCTATAAAATACAGGCTTAAATTTTGGTGTACCGACTAGATACACCTAATTTGCCATAGTTATGGTAGTATACATTTTAATACTAGTGTAAAAAATGAATATATAAATAACGTTATGAAAAAATCGGTGAATGATTAAAAAGTGTTTGCGAAATATTTAATATAAACCCTCCTGTATGACATTATTACATATATTTTCTTTCATCTTGATATGTATTTATATTATGGCTTATATAATATGTATATGTACCTAAATGGTGAAGTTCACTTAGAACTGTAACATATTTTACGAATGACACGTTTGTATACATGTCATACAGGGTAATTATATTTTAAGATAGAACATTCATTATCCTATGAGTATTTTATAGTATATTGTTCGAGGATGTACAAGGTATTAAGCAATAAAAAAATAACATCACGATTCACGAGATGATAAAACGAAGTACCATAGAAGATATACTATTAACATTATTAATTTGTTAAAATTATTTTGAAACGAAACTAAATGTATTAGTATAGGTATTTATATTATCATAGTACCTATAGCAGAAGTTATAGTGTTTATTTCCATCGTCAATCTGGATGTTTTTGTTTTCATTTCGAATATACCAACAGTATCTTAAAATGTCGACTGCGCAGTATAGGTATTTACTACTCGTGGCGTAGCCAAGATTATGCGATGGGGGGGGGGGGGGTGGTTAAGTATAAATTAAACTAAGATTTTAAAATGTTCGTATATAAATAATATAAATTATACATTTATTAGTGGGTGGAAAGGAAATGGGGGGAAGTGAACACCTAAACCCCCCTGGCCACGCCACTGCTTGTACTTACATCATAGGTACCTATAATTGATAATAATATTAAAATTAAATTAGTAAACCTAGTACTTAATCGCATGCTTTTTTTTCCCCGCAGGGCCGTGCACGAATACCATCACCATCATAATATGGCTGCCCAATACGGCAGCCTACTACTACCGCCACCGACTTCGAGACTGGCGCCACCGCCGCCACCGCCACCTCCTCCATCTAGTCACCCACATCCACACCAGTATCACGGCAAAGCTGGCATGGAACCGTGGCCCAACAGCGCCCATCATCCGGCCTTGGATACTGGCACGTCTTACTCGTCATATCCCACTGTTCCAGGTAAAAATAATTACAAATAAAGTGATATATCTATGATATTATAATATTTAGCTTTAATAATTTATGTGCTTTTATACCACGATACCTATGTATACTAATTGGTATGTGTCTGTGAAAACAGGGTACACTGTATAATTAAGTTAGCCATATTACTCAGTACTCTATACATGTTTTTGAATTTTGTTTACTTCTGAAGAACATGAAACTAGACTATTCGATCATTAATATTCCGTAGACAGAATACTAATATATGTATATAGGGTACTGAGTAATGTAGGTAACATGAGTTATAAAGTGAACCCAGTTTTCGCGGACACGCGGTAGATATATATGAAGATAAAAAGTGTTAATCCTGGTTCATAGCTATGTCGTATGTCGTGTCGTGTAGTGTCTAGTAAAAGTTGAACTTAATAAGTTTCTCGGTAGATCGTGGTTAGTGAATTATACCACGATTAGAGCAGCCAATCATAATACGATGGACGACGTAGCTATAGTGAACTTGGCTTTTTGCTGTAAGTATATCGTATATGCAATTCTCCCAGAAAATTATAAGCAAATTCAATATAATAGACACCATGAAAGGTATATACTGGAAATAAATAACAATATAGAATAAAAGTATTGTAATTTACTAAATACTCGTATAGCATTGGTTATAAATAAATAATAATTATTATAATTTAGTCAGTAGTAGTAAACTAATATAATAGATATGAGATCATAATATTTGTAAAAAGTATTTATATTTTATCGGTGCTCCTCCGGTGCATCTACTATGATTTAGTTCTCTATGAATTTGTCATATACTCATATGTGCATGTGGGAATGAGTTTATAAGGACTTACAAGTAGGTATACAAAAAGATTATCGGTAAATAGACCATGCATATTATAGTTTGTGGTGAATATTTAAATACGAAAACATTGAAGGCTTTAGAAAAATAATGCATTGAAGAACTCTGATACTCCAACCTAACCCTACAAAAAGTTAAACGTAATATGATTATCTAATTATATATTATATAGCAGAGGTATTCAAACTTTTTCATCTCACAGCTCCTTTAAGTCTTCACAAAATGTTGACGGCTCCCAAATTATAAATGACAAAAAAATAAATGTTTATATAAATGTAATTTATATTTTATAATTTTTTTTTTATTATTTATTTGCCATATTACATATATAAAAAAATTAAAGCTATATTTAGCAAATGATTATTGTAGACGTTTCCCAACCGGTGTGCCTCAATGATAATAGTAAACATTTTTCGTAAAAATATTTATTGGTTTTCAATTATACTACTCGGCTCCCTTCGACAACTCCGCGACGCCCCTGGGAGCCGCGATGCACAGTTTGAATACCTCTGTTATATAGGGTGATCCAACAAGTATGCTCACCCCCCTTTTTTCTTTAATAGTGAAGTTTTTCAAAATCTGATTTTTGGAATCTTTAAATACACTCGAAGACCATATTTTCGAATACTTGAAATTGTTTGTACCACTTAAGAATGATCTTGTGACAATACCAACTTCTGTTTTTAAAATTTGATCTCCCTTCCCCCCCCCTCCATTTTACTTTTAATTTTTCAGCAGATATTCTTTTGAGAATTTTTATGTATCTAAATCAAAATTCTAATGAGTAGTTTTTGAGTTATTTAACTTTGTATACTAAACATATAAAACAACTAGATAGCGGACTGCATATGACATTCCTACAGGAACGTTGAAGTCCTGCGACCATATGTTAACAGGGCAGTATTTACAAAATAACTCAATAGATAAGATACCTATACATGTTTATATGATATATTTATTACAAATACATGTATGTTATCAACTACGCAATTTCGCCCTGTTGGTACATGACTGCCGACTTCGATATTATCCTGTAGTCGGCTATCTAGTTATTTTATATTTCCATGATGGTAATAGATTAAGTAGATATGGAAGCTTAGATGATTTGAAAATGTTTGTAATTACCATTCAGTATTGATCGCTTGATTTAAATAATTTGTAAAAATGATCAAGTAAATACTATATCGATAATACATCTAATATTACATATAGTTCATATTTTTGTATAACCATATTTGAAGATCATCATTCTTAGTATAAATATTTTAATAACTCAGAAACTACTTATTAGAATTTTGATTTAGATACCTAAAAATGTTTAAAAAAACCTCTACATAAATATGTACAGTGAAAAAAGGGGTTCTGATTTGAAAAATAGAGAGTACATGACACTCCTTAAGTAAAGCAAAAAATATCAGGAATTCTAAAATATTGTTTTTAGGTATAATTCAAAATTCTAAAAATTAGAGTTCGAATAAAAGTATTATTCATGGGAAAAATGGGGTTAACCATGTTAAGAAAAATCACCTTTTATTTATATTTACATGTTACATACAACATACATATATAATTGAATGATACGGTCCCGTGTAATATTATATAGGATGTAGGTAACCATTGCCAGCGAAATAACAATTATTTAACAGCCATTTATTAAAAAAATAAAACAACATCCACAATAATAATTCATGAGTTGAACTTCATCCGGCAGCAGGTTTGACGTCTCTGCAAAAAAAGGAAACATAATCAACTACCATAATTAATGTTTGAAAAAATTATCACATCCTTCATGCTATATACACATTATACATATTATATATACCCGAGCATTGATGACCAGAAACAATATAATATTTTTTTCCTGTGTGTCTGAAAAACTTCGCAGGTGTCAAGACCAAAATATATAAATGTGTACAATGCGCAGCATTGCATATAGTATATATATTTATATATACAATAAGTGGCAACAAAGGAGATTGTCGGCATTGTTACTTGCGCGTGTATATAGACGAGTATGTATTTGTAGTGTGCTTCCCAGCCATTATATGTAGAAAATAGAAACATTCGCCTATACATTATATATACATCTAGTCGGCGAATGAGTTTTATAAATATGTTATGAAATTTAAGAAAACAGCTTCATAAAATATAATACAAACAATAAACCGAATAAATATATAATCGTGTAAGTGTATAGGGACACAATAAATGAAAAAAAAATTGTTAAAGTATTTTATGTAGGTATATACCTATAACGTGTATACCTATATGTATAATGTATATGTATATAATATTATATCGTATAAGTTATATTATTATAACCATATAGCCGACGCGTATGTATCGTCGCCACTGCAGCGCGGTAGGACAGAAGGCCGCGGTTATAATATATATTATATAGGTATATACAGACACAATGGACGATAATTTAGCAATTGCCTTGGTTTCAGTTAAACCGGAGAACCGATGCGAAAAGAATAATGATAAAGCGTGCCCGCGTATAATATATATAGATAATAATACATATGTGAAAAAACGAGTCGGCTCACGGACTTCAGGTCACGTGACCAACTGCATTGCTGACGACCGATTTGAAACTGCCAGGCACGTCATCATATCGTCCATATAAAGTTAATTGAACTAAAGACCTACATCGCGGCCGCCATCTCTAGACGTATAATAATCTCATTTTGATAAACATGAATACGAGCCCGCGCGCTCACCGCGCATTACTGCAACTGCAGTCGTCTTGATCCGCAGCGGAGCGAAATGCACGTAGAAATGTAGAAACTGCTGCGCGATGTTCGCTACCTGTATTATTATGTTTAAATGTACAATAATGATGTACTCTCGGAGCGTTAATCAGTAACTAATGAACTTACTATTTACTTACCTACTTACTATTGTAACTATAAACTATTATACATATAGCATAAATTATACATTATAGTATAGGTATTATCGCGTCTCAGCACATGTCATCAATAAATAGGGATTAAACTAGGGACTGTAAAGGGGTGGGGATATAAGAATTTCTAAATATATTATAATACTATCTTAGTGTATTTTTAAAGTTAAGTAGGTACAACGAAAAAAACGTTTCACATTGTTCGTAATTATTATCATTTATTTTGGGTACTACGATTATTTTTGCATTCATCAGCTACTAGAGAATTATTTTTATTATAATCGATGGTATTATTATCTCTCAATCTTATTCACATTTTGAACCATTTTTCCACTCTAGTCCACCCACCACCGTTTTGTTTTTATTTTCACAAATTAATAAATTGATCTTGCTATTATTTTTGTATACCTCGAGTTGCATTTTAAATCTACAGCAGTAATGCATTTGGTATTTTATTAATATTTAATATAGACATACGTTTAAACAGCATGTATTACAGAGGATAGTGGCCACTGGGTACAAAATAAAATATCTGCAGATCAAGGGAATATACAGTTACTACTAATTATTACCTAATTCTAGAAACGAATAAAATATTTTATTCGGTTTACACAATATAATAAACATATACTTTGTAACTTTTAGGAATTATTTTTGATTAGAAAAATAACAGTAACAATACATATATAGCTACATAAAAATTATTTTTAATTTTACACTTTCTTTTCTGTGTTAAGCACGTAAAGCGGATATACTTATTTAATTTCTCTTTTAAGCTGAACAACATCTATATATTTATCACGTTCATCGCTGTACAAATGTACGATATAAATGTAATGCATGCGAAAACGCAGGTAATTCTCTGGGTAATTAATTAACAACTCGGTTGTCTGAAATGTCAGATAAATAGGGGTGGAAAACGAACCACAGTCTTTAATATAGCCTTTCGAGAATTACTAAAGAAACTCATCTGAGGACATAATATTTTATATAGTATAATATAGAACATTAGGTAATTAATGTGCTTGTACAGTTTTACCAAATTGATTGAATCAATTTAATTCGACGTCATTATAGAGACTTAATAAGTAAGAATTTGTTTGTAAATAATTGAAGAACAAATTTAAAAAAAATTCCTTTTGTATTAATATATTATATTATTAGGTGAATAAATGTTTCAAAACACTTAAACTGCAATGAAGATATTTTCTCAAAATTGTGTATGATCTTTAAATCCTC